CGGGTGAGGACTGGGTAGCAGGGGGTGGGGAGGGCCCGGTATAACAAGCTCTGCCCAGCTCTCACCCTCTCCCACCGGCCTGCCCAGGGGACATTGTGGGTGACACGGTGGAGAACTCCATCGACGGCGCCAACTTGAAACACCTGATCCAGGTCCCGGCGGGCTGCGGGGAACAGAACATGATCGGCATGACCCCCGCTGTCATCGCCACCCACTACCTGGACAGCAGCCGGCAATGGGAGAGGCTCGGGGTGGATCGCAGGGCGGAGGCCGTCAAGTTCATCACTCGGGGTGAATCTCTCTCTGGGTCGGGGGGGGGGAGGAGTTGGGCCGGGCACCAAGCAATAGCGCCGGGGCTCTTGCTGCCCTGCCCTGCCCCCGGACACTGAGCCGCCCTGGCCGAATTGTCTGAGTAGAGCGGAGCTGGCTGGGAGCCTGGGGTCTGTAAGGGAGCCGGGTCCCAGTCCCTTGAGGAACCTGGTGGATTAGACGCAGGGGCCTGATTCCCAGTTCCCGTGCGTGGGGCAGGGCTTTAAACCCCCTTGGTGCTCTCCCTGTTCTAGGATTGTGCAGGGCCTTTCCTGGCCCCTGGAGTGAGCAACAGCAGCCTTGGGGCTGCTCTGATTTACTCTGGTATGGGAATCGGGGACTAACCGTAGTGCAGCATGCTCTGGCCATGCCCACAATCTGCCCCCTCCACCAGGAGGCTGGGAACCAGCTGGGATCACCCCTTCACGAGGGGAGTCTTGGCAGTGTCTGGGAAGCACCGAGGTAACACACTCATCCTGGCCTGTGCTGCTTACGACATGCGTTGCACCAGCAGCCGTCGCCTTGTGGCAGTATCGCTCAGTGTCAGGGAGACTGAGATGCAGCGTCTAACCCAAAGGGGATGGGAATGTGGGTACGTGGGGCTAGGTCCTCGTCCCTGGGGGGTGGAGATGCTGTGGCAATCTGTACTTTCCTTGGCTAGCAAGGAGCCCCGGGAGATCATGAGATGAAAGAGCTACAGAGGGGTCTAGTGGTATCAGTGGGGACTGGGAGTCGAAATGGGGACTAGTGGGCTAGAGCAGTGCGGGGGTGGGCCTCAGGACGCCTGGGTTCCATGCCCAGCTGCAGGAGCAGAGCGTGTTACAGCTGGGCTGAGCACCTCAAACTGGGAATCCAGATCTTAACTTCTGCAGCTCAGGCCCCATCTCTGATCTCTCGATTTCAGGGTACACCCAGCAGCTGGCTTACCGGAAAGCAGATAACTCCTACGCAGCCTTCACAAACAGACCAGCGAGCACCTGGTAAAGCGCGGGGGGCAGACACCTGGGGGGAACTGTGGCTGAGTTGTTGTCCTAACACACATCTGACTCCAGAGACTCTCTGCTAAAGTCTCCTGTTGCTGGCCTTGTCACGGGGGGGACTGGAGTGGGACCCAGAACACCTGGGTTCAATTCTGCCTCTTCCGCTGACATCTCCGTGTGGGACCGTGGGCAAGTCCCTTTGTCGCTCTGGCCCTCAGGTTCCCCATCAGTAAAATGGGGTTAAAGGCCGTTCCTTTTGTCTGGTTTGATTGTGAGCCCTTTGGAGCAGGGACTGCCGCTGGCTGTGGGTCTGCGCAGCGCCCGGCACAACGGGGCCCTGATCTCAGTCGGTGTCTGGGCACCACCTGAAACAACGAAGCCCCCCATCTCGGTCGGGGTCTGTGCAGTGTGCCCATTACAACGTGGCTGGGGGGCCCAGTCTTGGTTGGGATCCCGGGCAGTCCCCAGCATGACAGTGAGGTAGGGGTAGGATGTGATCTCAGTTGGGGGCCTCTAGGTTCAACCATAAGACAGCTTATGGTCACTCTTTAGATTAACAAATGGTTAAGAGCTGTTGCAAGAACTGGTTAAGAGATTGTTCGAGTCTCCAGCTCTTATACCCGGCTGATAGCAATCGATATGGCTGCGACTCGTCTCCGGGGCATATTAACCCGTTACAAATGTACCCTTCGTTTAAAGAGAGACCCACATTAATACGGGGTCGGGGCGGCTGGCTGCTCCTCCCCCGCTCACCCCTGCCTTTCCTCCCTGGCAGGCTGACGGCCTACGTGGTGAAGGTCTTTGCCCTGGCCTACGAACTGATCGCTATCGACCCCGAGGTGCTGTGCGGGGCTGTGAAGTGGCTGATTCTGCACAAGCAGAAGCCTGACGGGGCGTTCCAGGAGGATGCCCCCGTGATCCACGGGGAGATGGTGGTGAGCTGCTCGCCCTGGGGGGCTGGATCTGGGGCTGGTGTCACTTTGCTCCAGCAGCTTGGGAGCTCGGGAGCTGGGTTCCGAGTTCGGGCAGCGCCTGAGAACGGGGCCCACAGGGCATAGGATGCAGAGCCTTCCGGAAACCCAGCCTTTCCTCTCCCTCCTCTCCCTAGGGAGGGTACCAAGGTT